TTTTTCTTCTTCTTCTTCTTCTTCTTTTTTTTTTTTTTTTTCTTCTTCTTTTTTTCTTTTCATACAAAACACTGGCTCCGTGCTATTCGTGGGGAGTAGCAGCACGTGTTGGGAACGGGGCCCAACGTCCCTCATAGAGTCATAGCAACCAGTAAGTCTGCGGCCGGGGTCCTCACAGTCTACACGGGGTGCCTTGTCCGAGATGAAGTAGGTGACTAAATGTGGCCCTCTCAGCTCTTGTGATGCTGTCAGTTTAGATTCTGTTTCTTTTTTTTTTTTCTTTTTTTTTTTTTCAGATTCTGTTTCAAGGCCTGACGGGCAGATGATCCCATAGGAGTTCTGAGTAATAAACAAGGCTGTTGTCATCGGCTAGGTCTGCCCAGAGGAAGGGGGATGCCCATTTCTTACGGAATTGTGCGGAAGCCCCCTCAGCTGATGGAGACGAGTTCATAAGTCTATCATGCCAGTCTGCTGTAGTATCTAATCCCATATTATGTTTGAATTGGGCACTGAGAGAAGGGAGGGATTCTACCGTAGCAAGCAATCTCTTGGCCCTTCTGGCTACCCATATTTGCCAGAAAACTCTCTCTCTCTGAATAAAATACTTAACTTCTCTGCCTGTTGCTTATGGAAACAGGGCTGTGCTCTGTCCCTAAAGAATAGGTCAACAGAAAGAGAAGAAAAAAAAAAGGACTAGGTCCTGATTCCAAAGGTCATTTTGACATTCAATGACGCATTCCCACCAGAGGATATAGAAAAAAAAGGGCAATTTGAATGCCTCCAGCCAGAGCATATAGAGGAAATCCCAGTACCCTCTAGCGATGGCCCATACCCACCAGAGGTGTAGTCCATCTTCTAAACAGGGGTGGGGGCATGGGTCACAGAGAACAGATACAACCAACATTCCTTTCCCTGAACACCACAGGGCCGTGGGAACACAAAGATGCAGGTGTAACCACTGTAAACCACCAGTACTTGGCCCATACATTGCCTGCGGGTGTTTCCCGTTAACGCGCCACGACCGATAGGCTTCGGGGTACCAGACCACAATGGCTGGAGGCGGCAGCGAAAATTGAAACAAAATGCCGTGCCGTCCGTACGGCAAAACTTGGAGTGCAGTGGAGTGCACGGTGTTTCCCGCTCGGCATCAATAGCTGGGCCAAGTACTGGTGGTTTAGCTTCAGAATCTATAGTTGAGAGTAAGAGATGGACAAAGGACAATCTTTTCGTTGAGGTTTAGTAACCCTTCCCTTTTTGGTTAGTCCACCTGCTTCTCTTTCCTTTTTTAAGTATTGGTTGCATTTGATGTTCAGTTCTCATTCTGTGGCAGTCTTGCCGGGCTGTCTCCTTTCTGCATCCCTCACAAGAATGGCCGGGCTGTCTCTCTCTCTCTTGCCGGGCTGTCTCCTTTCTCGATTTAGGCGTGTCATCCTTGCTGCCATGCGAATCTCCTTTCTCTCTCTGTATCGTTCCTTTTTTTCTTTTTTTCTTTTTCAGTATCGTTCCAACAAACAATCCCCCTGCCGGAGGCGCGCCCGGCATCCCTCACAAGAATCGCCGGAAAAAAAAAAGAGGAAAAAAAGAATCACCGCAGCTCTGAGCTGAGGCAGGCCGGCCAAGAAGCAGAGCCCTGGAGGGAGATCCCACTACTTATGTATGTGGAGTAGTGGAGAGGTTGTGTGACTCCGAAGCACCATGGATCGGACTGGATATCTGCCGTGTGTTTTTATTTGTATTTACGCACCAGGACATATGGCGCGGGCGGGCAGCGACGGAGCACGAACGTGGACGGGGACTTGTTGCGGGATGCACTTCGAGACCGCCTAGCTCTGATGTAGGACCGTGCGGACGGGAGGGGGAGGGGGGGGGAGGAGGCGAGAGGGCGTGGGTTGGTGCGATCAGCAGGCGGGTGGAATTGACATGTGGCCCGTGTCCATTGGCGTTGCTGGGTCGATTGTATGGCGGCATGGTTGTCGTCTGTGACTTCCTTTCTTGTTTTCATCGTGTGGACGGTTGCGTGGTTCGTACAGTTGTACGAACGTTGAATATTGGAAGAACCTTTTTTTGGTGTGTCTCTCTCAAATTTGTTTATTTTTTTATGCGTGTCTTCAAATCGTCTGTCTCGAATGGTTTGGTGTAGTGGGAAGCTTATTTTTTTTATGGGTATCTCTTCATTTCCTTTTTTTTTTTTGTGTGTGTCTCTTCAATTCGCTTATCACGAATGTTTTCGTGTGGTTCTCTGGCGGGACGTCAAACATGGGTGTTCAAATTGTTGATGCAAGCTGCTTAACGTTAGTTAACGACGAAACACAAAAACAGAGGGAGATGAACACGGATTGTGTGCATGCATAGGAGGCAATCATCTGCAATCATCTTTAAATCATTTCACAGAAGAGACGAGAACAGCGGACACATCATATAAGAAAAAAGGTGCGGTAAAAGCTCTATGAACTTCTCACGCAGCGAACTGCGATTATAAAAATAGAATACAGGACGACATTCATGGATCTCGTCGTCGACTCCAACGACCGACACACTAAACACCTGCACTAAACGCAACATACACCATTGAAATCAATCAACCTGTCTTCGTGGCACAGCCGACCCGCTAAACATGTGCGCAACCGACGACGATTCTGCTGAATCCCTCTCACCGACACACTAAACAGGTGCGGACTTTGCGACGGTGCAACCACAGTGAAGCCCATCACGACCAGCCACGTGTACATGCGCCCGCGTCCACACAAGCAGCCCCCCACAACACCCGCCCCCCTCCCCCCCCTACGCGTCATCTTTCCCCTCGTTGTTGTTGTCATCGTCAGGGGGGCCCGAACCCAACCAATCTAGCTTCTTCACATCCTTTGGCCCCGTTATGCTCGCGTCGTGCCTGAAACCAATGCCGCAGGGTGCCCATTGAGGGATGTAGTCGGGGCTACGAATCCCCCTCAGCGGCGGCCATCCACGGCCAAGTTCACGGACGCGGCCAGTCCGCTGACCCCGCGGACACGTCCGCGCGAACGCGCGGCTTTAAAGCCACGTGGCGGCCGCAGGGGAGCAGCTTTCGACATTCGGAAGACGCCACGTGGCGGCCGCAGGGGAGCAGCTTTCGACATTCGGAAGACGCCACGTGGCGGTGCATCCCCGGCCCCACCCCACCACACAAAAAAAAACCGAAAAAGACCAACTTTTGGATGGGGGGGTTTAGGCGAAATCGAACGAAATTGAAAAAAACGAACAACGCGTTTTTTTTTTGTTTTTTTTTTTTTTTCCGTTGATTGATTGATTGATTGATTGAATGATTGATTGGTGGGGGGGGGGCTGCCCCGCCCCGCCTTTGATTGATTGAATGATTGATTGATTGATTAGTTTCGTCGATTTTTTTTTTCCGTTGATTGATTGATTGATTGATTGATTGATTGATTGATTGATTGATTGATTGATTGATTTCCGTATTTCTTTATTCCATTTTT